TCAATATATACAGATATGTTGTATTTTAATGCAGGTACTAGCAAACGAGCTAGGACCGATGATGATGCACCTTGGATCGTTAGAGGCCCAGTGCCCGGTGGGCCCATTGATGGGAGTGTCATCCCTAGCTTTCTTGGGCACGTCGCCTCCCGCATGTGGAATGGGAATTTGAGGGGCTACTGAAATGCCACAACAGAGTGCGAGCGATCGATAATCTGAAGGCTTGGCGTGAAGAGATGTCTTCCGATGCTGGAGCTCTTCTCGACCAGACCGGGCTGTCACATTTGGTCGACTCCATGCACACCCAGTTGGACACCCCACTCCTTTCTGCTTTTGTGGAGCGATGGCAGCCGGATACTAACTTGTTTCACATGCCTTTTGGTGAGATGAGCATCATGCTGCACGACGTCCGGGCCATTTTGGGCGTTCCAGTGGAGGGAGTCGTGGTCGCTGAGGACCCGGATTCGGACGCCTGCCATGAGCTCTGCATGTCGATACTTTCGGTCACCAAGGGCGAACTCATGAGTTCGTTCTGGCAGCGTGGTTCGGTGTCCGAAGCCGCCATTTCGAACTAATTCAGGGGGAAAGACCGGCCGGCTAGGGATGAGGCGGGTGCCTGGCTGTGGGTGATGCTGGCTACCACATTGTTCGTCGACAAGAGTGGTAGTAGAGTGACCCCCAAGCTCCTGAACGAGGTGCTCGACGGCTTGGATTTGATTGGGGGTTACTCATGGGGATCGGCTACGCTGGCATACTTGTACAGACAGCTAGGTATTGCCAGCCGAGGGGACTCTGCCCAGATGTCGGGCTGCTTGACTCTTCTACAGTCTTGGATATATGAGTATTTCCCCGATTTCCGACCCCGAGGGCGTCTACCCATCGGTCCTGACTGTCTCGCACGATCACGCTCGTATGGCGTAGGGAATGCGCCACGGTCAGACGATCGGCTCACAGCCATCCGTCGGCGCCTCGACAGACTCACTGCCTCCGATGTACGTGAATTTATTTTATTTAAATTTAGTTACCCGTTATTTAAAATAACATAATTATTTTTATAAATTCTCCTATGCAATTGTGAACAGGTGCAATGGTTGCCATACGGCAGCTCCAGCCCAGATGCGATAGAGCCGAGGACTCTTTATAGCGGATGGATTCGATACCGCGATGTCGTCGAGCCGTACTTGCCTTCGCGGTGTCTGCGTCAGCTGGGGTATGTCCAGACTGTCCCTCCCCCTATATTCCCGCCAATCAGTGCAGTACGTGCTTGGGAGTCTAGGAACTACAAGGTTGAGCATTCTGAGGCTGGTGCAGTATCCCTCTGGACCCAGTTCCCGATGTCTGGGACGGTCAACACAAGTATGTTGACCCAGACCACACAGGATCGCGGGGAGGCGACTGAGGATTTCCTTCAGTGGTACAGTCGGGTTTTCCATCCGACTCTCATGGGCGAGGAGCTGCCGGACGAGGACGAGGTCCCAACGCGTGTCAATACCGCCTATGTAAGTTGGTTACTAAATTTTAATTAATGTTAACTCATTACAATTTTTTTTTTTAATAAATTTTAGTCTTATGTTTTTATTCTTCTATTTTTTTAGTGGGTGGACCGTCTTTTGGGCATTACGTCGACCTTGCAGCAAATTGTTCCAGACTGTCTGGAGGCGGCGGAAGTCGAAAAACAGCTCGCTAAGTTTAAGTTGGATTACGACAATGCCCAATAATAATGTAATGAATGTTTTTTTTTCTTTTAATTATTATTGTAAAACATTAAGTTGAATGATTTTTTATTTTAATTTGCTAAACTTAAGTTGAATGAGAAACGTCATACCATAACTGAATAATATCGTTCTTTTATTCAAAAACGCTTTGTTTGAACAGTATACCACAATTGCAACCTAGACAGGTACTGATGCTCCCAACCCACAACCGATTGATCTCGGTAACGGAACCACATGTTATGAATAGGCGGTAATGGACAATCATCAGTCAAATCTAAACGAATGTAGTGTTCTACGGTACCAAGATGGCAAATGGCAATCTCACGACATGGTCCTCTAGCCGATGATCGTGCAGTGAGAGGCAACACTGTGGTGTTGAATAAGTCGTGCTGCCCACCGTTTGGACCAGAGCTCAAATGAACGACAACCACATTAAATAGGGTCGCAACGGCATAGAGGTCCGGCGGAACTTCGAACCAATGAGTCGTTCCACAAGAGCCTCTGGGCCACCTTATGCGACGGAGTCCGGCCTCGATATCTCTAAAATAGATGTACTCGTACAATTCAGGGTGGTTTTCGACCTCCTTCGCAATGTTTTCTCTTGCATCTGGCCAGTACTTCTGATGACCATACATGTGACTCGCGATGACCCGAAATCCGCAGTTACCATCCGCTTCCACATTCAGGTAACTCACTATGTAGTCCAACATATGCCAGGGGATACATTGCCACAATGAAAATCCAAATATATTTGTCGGTCTAAACTCTACAATAAACATCATAATAATTTCACGTCACAATTTATATAATCATATAAATACTTTAATTAACGCTCAGCCGTATTTAAAAAAAAAAATGTATGACCTTCATCCCCTTGTGACTGTTGAGAAGACGAACTTGTCTGTCCACGAGAAGAATTGGTCGTACGGCTCGATTTCCGACCTCGCGATTTTTCGTTGTACTCAAAAGCAGATGGTTTACGCTTAGTTGAATTAGTTTTCTTGGGACGACCTCGCGGGTTATCCTTAACCTCAGGTTCCGCATAATCCTGTTGGTCTGGGTAAAGATGACTGTACATGAACTTATTCACGTACCGCATCGTCGCGGGATCGCGGGTTTCAACCTCAGTCACAAGCGTATGAAAGAACGTCGCATCTGACCATGCAGCGTTGCTCGCCTGGCTCGGATGACCAGTCCCTACAAGTATACGATAAAAAAGTCAATGAATTAAAACAAATAATGTATTTTAATAGAAAATTATAAATAAAACATTAATCTTAAATTACCTTGCTCTAATATCTCGAGCGTTCTCCAGAACTGGTGAATCATTCTGAGATCAATCGGAACGTCGAAATCTTCTGCGTTACGGAGGAGACAGGCACAAGGAAGTCCATGAGTGAGCTGCAATACACAACCGCAGCTAGTGTAAACATCGGTGTCCAACTTGTGCATCCTCGTAAGCTCAGCGTCCAATAAACTCAGACGGTAATGCGAGACCCTCAGTATCACGCTCGCGAAAAGGATTCCCTTGTACCGTGTATTC